TTAAGATAGACTGATAATGTATGTTAACCTTTTATACTGCTGCTATAGGATACTGTTGTTTTTTAAATATTGTTAGCTTTACTTGCATATTCAGAGTTGTGTAGTCAGAGAAAGAAATGCTGACACTATGGTTTAAACCTTCTGGTGCTTGATATCAGTTTGTTTACAGTATTTCAAACTGCAGCTGACAAAGGTGGTGTTCTCCGTTAGCATGGTTGCCCCATATTGCAGGCCGTTTGAGTGCAGCTGAAAACACAATTGGCACTTGTTTTAGTGAACAGGCCCTCTGAAGATCTTTTAAATTAATAAACCTGTGAGTGTAGTTCCAGAAAAATCTACTGATGAGAATCCATTATATTAAGGATACTTATGGGGGATTGCTTTGTGAATTTGGATATTTAAATTTGACTAACCTCAGCAAGTTTGTCTTAACAAGGAAAAAGAAACCCTTTGAAAGAAGCAGCTTGTCAGGCATGCTAATATAATATCAGGTTTGACGCAGTTATTCATAACATCATTATAAGCATAAGAATCCTGCAGTGCTGATGCAGGACTTGAAACACATTTCAGTCTTAATATGTCACCAATTTTGGTACAGATATACCTAATGAAATAACTTTGGAATTAAAAACCAATGTTTAAAAAGCAATGAAGTAACATTATGCATCAAAGGGATTGCCATAGAAGCTAGCGGAGAAAAAGGCAGGGTAGGAGGGAAAGAATTTTTGTTTCTTTTTCAAAAAGTCCCTTAAAGGAAGAAAAATTATCTTTGAGTATATTAGAATTACTTTTTAATATTCACAATAGTGGATTTTCTTTTACTTTTTTGGGCTATTTCTCATTTTATCTGGTTCCTTATTTCTCATTTATTCTAAGCACTCCTAAAGTGGGAATTTCTTTGGTGGGTCTGCTGAATTCAAGCTTTTAGTTCAAGTTAGATGTTTAGAGTCTCTGAAGTCAAAGAGAGAGATGTCCAGGAGATGAATCTTTCCATTTTTCCATTGACCATAAAGGGAGCCTCAATGGCCTGCGTCTCCTGGGTCGGTACCTTCGCGTGTTGGCGCAGGTAGGTGAGTTCTGTGTCATCTCGTGTGTGGCTCAGAGCAGCACTATGTGGAGATTACAGCAGCTGCAGTGTACTCTTACCCACGTGGCATTTGATCTGCTGATTATCCCTGTTTCTTACTGAACTTGTGCACTTCTGGGAAAGTTGTCTGCTTGATAAGCATTACTGCTAATATAATTCAGACACTTTTTGAAGACTGTATAGAACTGTAGTCAACAATGTGAACTCATGCTTCATGCACCTGTACTTTTTACAGTAACTACTAGATAGGCACATTAATTAGGTTATGGGAGAAAAATTACTGACACGAAATCAGTGAAAGGTTTTAAAATAGGTGTATGAATGTAGTAAAAGGAGCTGTCATGGAATACATTTGAAAGTGCTAATATGTACAGTGGTACTGTGCAGATTATACAATGTTTTGCAAAGAAATGTAGTACATTAATGTCATGGAAATAAAATAGAAATGGAACGGACATATGAAGTCGTGTGCTTATCGGATGATGGCGGGGTTATAATTTTCTGTTGTTCCAGGGAGTATTCTTTGTGACTGGTTACTTAAATGTGTTTTTTTCATGTTACTGAATTGCTTTTGAGACATTAGCACTACCAGCTGAGCAGAATTAAAAGGTGTGAGTTACAATTATTTCTACGAATATGCCTAGCTATGAGCTTTAGGATGTCTTGAATTAGCACAACAGTACTTGGTTTATTGTATTTCATGGAAAAGTACGGCTGTGTTTAAAGAACCCTGCCTGAGATTTTGTGTACTTTCTTCCCACAAAAAATGTTGAGCTAGTTAAAATAATGCAGTGCCGTAGCAGATTCTAGCACAGTACTGCTGTCACCAGGGTGCAAGAAGGGAGAATCTTGTGAGTGAATTTGCAAGTGCTGTGCTTTGGG